AATTTATTGGGTTTTACAATAAGAATAAATGTAATAAACAATATAGCATTCGTCTTAACATAATTTCACATTATCTTTGGACTTCCTCACATCTCCCGCTCCCACCTTCATCATTATAACATTTTGTCAGCAATTTATCATCTTATTTAAATTCTTATATCTCTTCGATATTTCATAATCTTAAAGTTCTCATAAAGAGTTAAACTTTCACAATTTTTCTTGTTTCCTTAAAAATTTCTAAGTTAAGTGGTGCTCAGTTATTTAGTCCAGCATCTTATTCAGCATTCAATCAAATCACAATGTTTTTGTAGGTAGTTCTTAAATTTCTTCCAATCCTCCTCGATTCTCTCTTCTCCCAGGTCACGGATTCTGCCAGTCATTTCAGCCAGTTGCATATAGTCTATCAGTTGCATCTGCCATTCTTCCAGTGTGGGTAGATCTTGGGTTTTCCAATGTTTTGCGAGTAGTATCCTTGCTGCTGTTGTTGCATACATAAAAATGTCTGGTCCTTCTTTGCCACCCCTTGGCTGACAATACCCAAAAGGAAAGCCTCTGGTTTCTTAGTGAAAGTATATTTAAATACCTTTTTCAATTCATTATAAATCATTTCCCAGAACGCCTTCACTTTAGGGCATGTCCACCAGAGGTGAAAGAACGTTCCTTCACACTCTTTGCATTTCCAGCACTTATTGTCAGACAGGTGGTAAATTTTTGCAAGTTTGACTGGGGTCATATACCATCTATAAATCATTTTCATTACATTTTCTTTCAAAGCATTACATGCAGTAAATTTCAATCCATTACTCCACAGCCTTTCCCAGTCCTCAAACATAATATTATACCCGATATCCTGTGCCCACCTTATCATAGCCGATTTAACCATTTCATCCTGTGTGTTCCATTCCAACAGCAAGTTATACATCCTTGAAAGTATCTTAGTCTTTGGTTCTAACAATTCTGTTTCTAATTTCGATTTCTCCACCTGGAACCCTAGTTTCTTATCACTTTTAAAAACTTCTTTAATCTGAGCATAGTGTAACCAATCTCGCACTTTGTCTTTCATTTTCTCCAAGCTCTGCAATTTCCAATTGTCTCCATCTTTTCTAATATTTCCCAATATTTTGGCCATTTGGCCTCCATATTGGGTCTTTTCGGGCCTTAGCTTCCAAAGGTGAAAGCCACCTTGGTGTTTTATTTTCCAGCAAGTCTTTATATTTTGTCCAGACATTAAACAGTGATTTTCTAACAATATGGTTCTTAAAGGCCTTATTTGCTTTAACTTTGTCATACCATAAATATGCATGCCATCCAAAAACATTGTTAAACCCCTCCAAATCTAACACATCAGTGTCTTCAAGAAGTAGCCAGTCTTTTAGCCAGCAAAACGCTGCGGCTTCATAGTACAACTTTAAGTCCGGCAGGGCAAAGCCCCCTCTTTGTTTAGCATCGGTTAGTATCTTAAACTTAATTCTGGGCTTTTTGCCCTGCCAGACAAACTTCGAAATGTCTCTCTGCCACTTCTGAAAGCACTCCATTTTGTCCAATACCTGCAGTGTTTGAAATAAAAACAACATTCTTGGCAATACATTCATCTTAATCGCAGCAATTCGGCCTAACAAAGAAAGTTTCAATTTTGACCAACTGTCTAAGTCTCTCTTAATTTCTGTCCAACATTTTTCATAATTATCCTTAAATAGACTTAGATTTTTGCTGTTATGTTTACCCCTAGGTATTTTACTTTTTAACCACATTAAGTTCCGTCTCATTCTGAAACCGTTCTGACTCTGTCTCAGTCAGATTTTTCCCCAAAACCTTAGTTTTCTGTTTGTTTAATTTAAATCCCGCCACCCGACCAAAATCATTAATCAATTGTAATACTCTTTTCGTACTAGGCTCTGGCTTCTGCAAGGTCAAAACCAGGTCATCTGCAAAAGCTTTTAATTTATATTGTTTCTGACCAACCTGAATTCCTTCCACCAGCTGGTCCCCTCTAATCATGTTCAATAGCACTTCCAGGACCGAAATAAATAACAAAGGGGAAATAGGGCAACCTTGTCGTGTCCCTTTTTCAATTTTGAACTCTTCTGTAACCACATTATTAACTATCAGTTTTGCTTTCTGTTCTGAATATATCGCCTCGATCCCATTCTCAAAACCCCGTCCCACTCCCATCTCTTTTAAGTTTCCCATCATAAATTTCCAAGAAATGTTATCAAAGGCCTTCTCCGCATCTATAAAAATTAAAACAGCTTTTGTATTTATGTCAGTTTGGAGAAGTTCCAAAATATCAATAATGTTCCTTGTGTTAGCAAACAAATGTCTACCTGGGAGAAAACCGGCCTGGTCCTTATGAATTACTTCATTTAAAACTTTTTAAATCTACTTGCCAAAATATCTGCAAATATTTTGTAATCCACATTTAAAAGGGAGATGGGACGGTAGTTCTTCAGTTGTGTCTTTTCAGTTTCTGACTTTGGTATCAATGTGATAAACGCTTCCTTCCACGAATCCGGTGCCCTCTTCCCCTCCATAATTTCATTGCTAACCTCCATCAAAGGTTGTATCAAATAGTCTTTTAGTATCTTGTAATACTTGGAGGTCAGCCCGTCTGGCCCTGGAGATTTGCCAAGTTGCATGTTCTGAATAGCTTGTTCAATCTCCTGTCGTGTTATTTTAGAGTTCAGGATTGTCCTATTTTCTTGTGACAGTTTAGATAATCCATTTTTGGCAAAAATTGTTTAATCTCAACTTCGTCTTGCGGCCCTTGGGTGTATAATTTTTAAAATATCTCTGGAAACACTTTCTAATGTCCACTGGATTCTGAATGTTTCTTCCATCAACCTCTAAATTTGTAACCGTGTTTAATCTTTGTCTTCTCTTCAACTGCCAGGATAGCAGTTTTCCACATTTATTCGCCGACTCAAACGTTTTTGTTTCATTAATTTGATCTTCCATTCAATTTCCTGATTTATCAATTTAGAATACTGTGTTTGGTACAGTTTAATTTCTCTCAGAGTTGGCTGTGACTTTGGATTCACTCTTAATTTCTTCTCTAATTCTTTTATTTTATCCAAAATCTTGTCTTTTTTCTCATTTTGTGTTTTTTTCTTTACTACATTCTGTTGTATCAGGAATCCCCTCATAACAGCTTTGCTTGCGTCCCAGACGATTCTTTTTCCACCGAATTGTTAATATTTATCTCAAAATAATCTTTCAAAACTTTTTGGGCCTTCTTGGTAATTTCCTGATCTCTAAACAAATTGTCATTCATCTTCCATCTAAAGGATCCAGTTGGTAGTAGTGTCATGTCCATCTTTACTGCGTTGTGGTCAGAACAGGTCTTTGGGCAGATTTCCACTTTTCTAACCCTAGGTGCCAGGCCTCTAGAGATCCATATTTGGTCGATTCTTGTCCAGGTCAGTTGGGCTTCAGAAAAGAATGTTCCTTCTCTACCTAGTGGGTTCTTTGTTCTCCAAATGTCGATCAAGTCCATATTGTCAGTCATTTCAAAAAGGTTTTAGGTAGTCTGCCATCTTTTGTGATGTTTTGACTTTGCGACTTGTCCATGTTAGTTGACACGACCCCGTTCATGTCTCCCATCATTATGATGTTGTTGTAATCCAGATGATCCAGCATTGTCCCCTGCAACTTCTTGTAAAATTCCGATTTCCCTTCATTAGGCGCATAGATTCCTAATATCAGCAGTTTCTCTCCTTGATATTGTATCTCAATAGCCAAAATCCTTCCATGCTCATCTTTAAATAGAAATTTAGGTGACAGGCTCTCTTTTGCATATATCACCACTCCTCTCTTCTTCACTTTATCCGACGAAATAAATTCCTGGCCCAATCTTTTATTTATTAACACTTTTCTGTGGAGCCTCGTCACATGTGTTTCTTGTAAGCAAATAATGTCCAATTGTTCTTTTTTAATATATGAAATATTTTCTTCCTTTTCTCCGGAATATTGCAACCATTAATATTCCAGCTCAACAGTTGCAGAGACATCCTGGATCTATCTGGTTATTTCTCCTGGGGTGGTGTCTTCTCTTGATCTTCAAGTTCCCGAGGTGGAGGTATTGATGCTGGCTTTGCCTCAGGCCCGGAAGGTAGTTCAATTCCTTTATGTAGGTCCTCTCCGTGTGTAGCCAAAAATTTATCTCTCTCTTCCAATGTTCTAATTTTAACCTTTCTCGCTCTAAAGGTAAAAGATAATCCTTGGGGAAAATCCCACCTGAATGGAATTGCGTTGCTCCTTAATAGTTTAGCAAGTTCGGAATAGGCAGCTCTAAGGTCCAACAGTTGTCTTGGGATATCTTTATATATCTCAATTCTTCTATCCAAAACTTCCAGTGACTTTTCGTAATGTAGGCCCAAAATCTTATCCCTTTCCTCCTTCGATCTCAATGTAATCAAACAATCCCTGGGCCTCTCCTTCTTTATAAATCTTCCAAGTCTGAAAGCTGACACAATTTTAAAGTCCTTTTCTTCCAAATTCCAGAACTTGGAAAGTTCTTTGGTCAAAAACTCAGTTAGATTTCCTTCTTCTGCCTCTTGTAATGATCTAATCCTCAAATTATTCTCACGATTTCGCAGTTCTATCATAGAAAGATAAGTCTGATGTTCCCCAACTTGTTTAGTGAGTGGTCTTACCTCTTGCTCTAAATTTTCCAATTTTTGTCTGGTATCCTCAGCCAATTTTCGGTTTTCTACTGAGGCCTCCGTCAACTGTCCAATTGCTTGTGTATTCTGTCCCACCTGTGTAGTTAATTTGTTTAGACAATCTGTATTTTTATCAATCTTTGCTGATTGCGCATCTACTTTCTTGTCCAAAGCTTCCAATTTTTCAAAGATTTTTTCTAGCACAGAAACAGATGCTCCTGAGGCCATATCTTCCAATTGTAACTGCTCTACTTCACCCTCTCCCTCTTTTGCCTGTAGCAAGGCAGCTTCTTCAAGTTGTACTTCTGAGGGCAAAGTAGGCACAGATGATCTACGTGTCTGCGAGGCTGAGGTTAGATTTGTTAGAGTTGTTTGTCTAACTCTTCCTCTTCTTCTTGTACCACTCATTCCAATGTTATCTATCAGTCAAGGTCACACTGAGTTTTTCCCACAGGAATAGAGAGGCCCAGAGCATGCAGACAACAAGAGAATCGAAAGTAAATGTTTTTATAAAGTCACTGTTTTAATCCAATCCTCTAGAGGGAGCTTAAAGTGTCTTTTCAGAGTCTGATTTAATGTCCCAGAACCTTCCAATATAAGTATTAAGCAGAGTTTAAAAGTAATCACTTTGTTGCAGACAGTGCTTATTTGTCTCCAAAAGAATGTTTCAAATTTAAAAGGTCTCAATACCCTCAGATTGTTGCAACTTCTGATATACAGTATCCAAGTCAAACACTGACAGCCCACTGTTACAGTGCTCAAGCAATCCTGACTCTGGGTTACACCTTCCAATTTGTAATCCAATAAAAGGGGGAAAGTCAAGTGCAAATAAAAGGTCCAAATCTTTAACTTGCTAATTTTACTTTAAATTGTAAGTTCCATAGATGCTTGGCTGTGTAGAGTTTAAAATCTCTTTCTTTCAGCCTCCACTCCTCCACTTTAGTTGCTTTTTTTCCAAGTTCAATGGCAGCGGAAGACGGACTTCCTGTTTCCACGTCTCTCCGCTTTCAGCCAAATTCAAGTCAATTTAAACCTTCTCATTTAAAATTTGTAATTCCAAGTGATTCAGTCTTTACTCACGAGTAAGTTGTTTTCTTCCAGATCCGAATTTTAACAGGAAAAGGGATCAGCGCTCACCGGCAGCAGCAGCGCGGCTTCACTCCGCTGACTGTGAAACGGCTCACAGCGCCGCAGCCCCCCTCCACGCTCCGGAGCCTCTTACGAGGCTCCTTCTGCAGTTGGAGGGCTGCTCTTGGCGCCCGCCGAGCCTCAGGACCCCAGGCTCTTGCTGCCTGGGGTTTTTCTCGTTGGGTCTCCGCTTCGCCGTAGCGGACGACCCGGTTTCAGCGGAGCTTCTTCTCCGGTCGGGAGAAGACCGCCATTACCGTTCGCGCCGCCCCCCGGAAGTCCAAATCTCCTCTTTCTGTCTGTCCTAGACTTGTTACTTCTCACCCACCTACACAACGGATACAACTGGCATTTTTAAAATTAAAAAACAAAAACACCTGCATGTTACAAAAGCACGTGACATCAATATAATGTGTAGTTTGGCCCTCTGACAATTCCTCAGCTCATTTGTGTTGTTTCTGGACTTGCATACATTGAAATTAAAGGGGACAAGTCTGTACATTTGTGAAGCTGCAGCCAGATGAGCAAAGCTTCCAAGCTGTAGTTCTGAGACCTACAGATCACATACGGAGCTACTGGGCTAAGCAGGCTTAGAAACATAATAATTGTGCTGTTATCAGACTTTACAGCAAAGCATTTGGAATCAGACCCCCAGGGAACATGAAAGCGATCTATTCTAACCAGCCACACCGAGACCAGATCATCTATACCTAAACATTCTCTAGGGTGCCTTTTCCCAACCTGGTGACTTCCAGATATTTTGTACTACAATTCTCACCAGTCCCTGTTGGCTGGGGCTCATGGGGATTATATTCAGGGCTTTCTTTCAGCCGGAACTTGCTGGAACTCAGTCCTGGCACCTCTCAGATGGACGTCATTGCCATTCTAAGAGAACGAGGGAGGTGTTCATTGTGAGTTCTGGCGCCTCTTTTTTCTAGAAATATAGCACTGATTATATTCCATAATATCTCAAGGGCGCCAAGTTGGTGAAGGCTGCTTTACGGCTTAGAATATGTTGAGTAAGGAACCTCAGCTGGATCTAATCTTGCAGTGGTAACAGGCAGCAACAGAGAGTGCTGTTATTTGACCCCAGTCCTTCTCATAGCTGGAAAGATGTCTGTGGAAAAACAAAACAAAACAAAACACATGCAGTTGGAATAGCTATGTTGAAAGCCTTTGGGCTAATTGCAGAGCATCTCTCTGAAAAGAAACATATCTGTGTTTCAGCTTGGAGGCCATGGTTGCTCACTTCTACAAGTAAGTTCCTGTATATGGAAAGCTCATTTCCATTGCTAGCTGAAACCTCTGTGGGTGTACCTGCCTTTCTTTCATAAGTATGTTGTCAGAAATCTTAGGCAATATAGAATACATATGCAGGTCTGCATGGAGTACCTGGTAAAATGAGGGCAATCGCACCTCCATTTTAACCCGAGATTCTGGTGCACACGCCTCCCTGAATCAAGAAGGTGTACGCTAAACGGGGGAGAAGGGGGTCTCATCATTTTGGCATGAGATGCTGTGCAGGTTTACATAGAACCCTCTGACAAGGTAGGATAACCAGCTTCCCATAACCAACTTGCTTAAGTCTAATTAAAGTATAAAGGGGTTAATGCCATAGAGTAAGCTGTCTTTCCAGCCATAGCTAGATCACTTCCCCTCACCCTGGAGGAAGAAGAAGAAGAAGAAGAGTTTGGATTTGATATCCTGCCTTTCACTCCCTTTAAGGAGTCTCAAAGCGGCTAACATTCTCCTTTCCCTTCCTCCCCCACAACAAACATTCTGTGAGATGAGTGGGGCTGAGAGACTTCAGAGAACTGTGACTGGCCCAAGGTCACCCAGCAGCTCAATGTGGAGGAGCAGAGACGCGAACCCGGTTCCCCAGATTACGAGACTACCGCTCTTAACCACTACACCACACTGGCTCTACCACACTGGAGGAAGGTGATCAAGCCTATTGTTGTACCCCAGTCTACCTGAGAAGCTCAGCATGTAAAGAGGTCTGAGGTAGTTGCTCCAAGCTCTAACCACATGGTTAGAGACCACATGGCTCTAACAAGCCTTTCTTGAGTTTCTATACCAACACTTTAGGAACCTTCACTCCTGAAACTAAGTTTTACTGCCTGCACAGTACATGACCTTGATATACTTGGAGGAAAGATGGGATATAAATGTAACATATAAAATAAATAAGTATAAATAACCAAATGGAAGATGGAAACATAGTAAACCTCTGTAGAAAATCTCTCTGTGTCTGATTTCAGTTTGGCTGCATTTTAGCACTATTGGATAAATATCAAACATCTGCAGATACAAAAAACATTATTGGTGCAAGGATGTCAGTTTTCCTTTTTAAACATGAGCTCTGCGCCCTTCACAGCTGCATGGGAAGCAGACAGTCAGCAGCTGAAAAAAACTTCACCTTTTGAATTTCTGCCTGCTAAGCAACAGTTAAATGTTCAGGAGCTCTACCAGAAAAAAAGAGTTGATACTAATTGCTCATTGGTGGGTCCAGAAAGCAAAGGGCAGGCTTTCCATCCAGAAAAAGATCACAGTTTCAATCTCAATGTAAAGGATCTCAGAGAAATGGGGCTCTCTTTGCCTGAGAGCCGCTGCCTCAGGAGTAGACTTTATTGGACTGGATGGCACATAGTGTCTCTGATTGCCATGAAGAGGGTGCCTTTTAGGGAGCTGTGGTGGAAGCAAACTCTGCCTCTCGCCTTAGAGAGCCCTAGATAGTCAGAGTAGATCAGCTTTTGCCAGTGTTGCATCCTCCAGGTGCAGATTGGTGATGCTAATCATATATTATTTCAGACTGGGTTTTCCAGTTCTACGGTATGGCATGCTATGGCTATTCCCAAGAGCAAGTAACACAAGTGTTTGGTGATGTTCACAAGCAGGACATGGTGTTTTTTGCCCTGTGTATTAAAAATCTGGCCCAATTGTCAACCTTCACAAGTATCCTCAAGGGAGCTTTAAAACATTACCTTCCTTATCCCTATTCCTTCCTTCCTTCCTTCCTTCCTTCCTTCCTTCCTTCCTTCCTTCTTTCCTTCCTTCCTTCCCCCAAGAAGCTCTTTTGGTGGGGGATGCTGCGATCTTGAGCAGCTCACAATAGTGTAACATGGGGCAGAACAGGTCCTATTGAAGCCCACAGCTTGGCATTGCATTGTGTTTTAAAATTGCCATGTTTGTTGCAGAAGTTGAGGGGCAGATAGAGGAAATGTCCCATGCAAAGTTTACTCTCTCCCTCTCTCTCTCTCTCTCTCTCTCACAGAATTGAACAAATGGTGGTATTTACAGGTACAGTGTCTTCTGGCAGTCAGGCCTTGTTGTGTCTGTTAAAGGGCCAAAAGAAAGACTCCCTGTGCCTGTGATAAAGTTAATGATTTCCTGATGTTAGCATTGTAAAGAGCAGTAAAGGGGGGGGGGGATCATGTACAGTCTTGTGCTACAAAACACACTGCACTTTGCTCAGATCTGATGTTTAGGTTTACCAAATGTTACAGGCCTTTACATGCGAGTATTGTTTGCATTACGTGGAAATGGACCAAACCTTATTTAAAAATGAAAAATTTGCCATCTTCTGCAAGCGCGGAGAGCGTTCACTAAAGTGAACAGGCGGTGGGCAGGGGGTTGTGTTGCATCTGCAAAAAGGGTTGCCTGATCATGGGTTCCTCAGATGGTGCCAGGAGGATAAAGCCACATCCTCTCTTCTTGCATGGATTGACACTTGGAGATGAGGTTGACTGAGGCACATGTTCTTTCTGAGTGTATAAAACAAGTGTTGCCCTCCAGATGTTGATGGACTACAACTCTCATCATCCCTGACTGTTGGCCAGGGTGACTGGGGCTGATGTTGTCCTTTTGGAGTCCAACGACATCTGGAAGACCACAGTTTAGTCATTTCATTATAAAAGGTTAAAAACCCCGAAAAAACTTAAAAACCCTGCCTTTCTCTTAATCTCCAATGCAATGTGGCTTCTGCTAGTGATGCCTTTCTCACATAGTTATATTGAATGGGGGACTAAAGATGAAGAGGTTAAATGCGTAATGATTAAGCGGGCACAAGATCTAGGACATAATATACAAATGGAAGACTGGGGAAAACTATGGAAAGTGAATTTAAAATTCACCGATTTTATATTGTTAAAAGAGAATTACCGGTATATGAAAATGATGTATTGGTGGTACATGACACCTGCAGAAATGTATAGAACAGGCTTCAATAAGTGTTGGAAGTGTAAAGAAAAAGAAGGCATGTTTTTTTCATATGTGGTGGAATTGTAAAATAATTTAAAAATACTGGGAAATGATTTATAATGAAATGAAAAAAATGTTAAAGATAACCTTTGTTAAAAGACCAGAAGCTTTTTTACTAGGCATTTCAGGTCAAGATTTGCCGAAACAGAAAAAGAAACTTTTTATGTATGCTATGACTGTGGCTAAGGGACGCGGGTGGCGCTGTGGGTTAAACCACAGAGCCTAGGACTTGCCGATCGGAAGGTCGGCAGTTCAAATCCCTGCAACGGGGTGAGCTCCCGTTGCTCGGTCCCTGCTCCTGCCAACCTAGCAGTTCAAAAACACGTCAAAGTGCAAGTAGATAAATAGGTACCGCTCCGGCGGGAAGGTAAACGGCGTTTCCGTGCGCTGCTCTGGTTCTTCAGAAGTGGCTTAGTCATGCTGGCCACATGACCCGGAAGTGGTACGCCGGCTCCCTCAGCCAATAAAGCGAGATGAGCGCCGCAACTCCAGAGTCGGCCATGACTGGACCTAATGGTCAGGGGTCCCTTTACCTTTACCTTTATGACTGCGGCTAGGATGGAAAAGCGATGAAATCCATCCAAAGTTGGAAAAGCGATGAAATACCAGCCAATGAAGAATGGCAAGAAAAATTGATGGAATACGCTGAAATGGCGAAGGTAACTGAAAGACCTAGAGATATAGATAATAGAGAATTTAAAAAGGACTGGGAACCATTTATGTTGTACTTACAGAAACAATGTAAAGAAATTGACTCACTAGCTGGATTTGAGTAAACACAATTAACAAAAACAAATATAGAAATTACAGAAATGATGATAAAATGATAAGAACAATATTTAATTTAAAGAATATAATATTAAGATATAATAAAGCAAGCAGGAGAAGTTACTATGCAAAAAACCAGAAGGGGAAGTTGAAGGAAGTCGCGTGGGTGTGTGTGTGTGGAATCCGGGAATTGAATTTGTTGTTAGTTGACATGATGTTATTATGATAAAAATGCGAAACTTAATAAAAATTA